TATGCAGGATCTCCTACATCCCTTCCAAGTGGATGAGTTTGCCCATCTCTTCATATGCTTGTTGGCCAAAGGGTTTCTGCTTTTGTAATTCCTGTTCATATGGTTTTGCTTATTTTTCTTTGTGAATTTCAGCCTTACCTTTCTTGATTGGTAGGATTTATTTTATATTCTAGTTCTTAATTCCTTGTCAGTTTCAGACCTGAACAGAAATTCTTAATTTTGATGTAAACACATTCATCAACTTTTTGTTGTGTGGTTTGAATTCTCTTAAGAAACCTTTTCTGCTCTTAAGTTACAACAAGTTACAGAGATACTCTTTTGTATATTTTTCTATTAACTTTATAATTTTGTCTTTCACATTGTTAATCCATTTACAGACCACCTTTGTGTGTGATGTTAAGTAGGGAACCAGTTTTATATTTTTCTGTGATTCTGAAAGACTGTGTACTAAACGGTCTCTCCTTTCCATGTTGATTTCTCGTGCCAACTTTATCACATACTAAGTTGCCACGTGCACATGACTTTGTCTCTCCATTTTCTAATACATTTTGTTTAGTCTGTTTCTCTGATCATGTGTCAACGCCACAGTGTTTTTATTGTTATACCTTTGTCTGTACAGTACCTCAGTATCTGATAGACACGTTTTCCTTCTCTTTGAAGGTTGACTTAACTATTTGTAGACCTTTTTTTTTTCACTTAAATTTTAAATTTGATTTCATTAAATCTGTAGACTAATTGGGGGAGAATTGTTACATTATAATATTAAGTCATTCCTTCCAAGAATATAAACAGATTTGTTCATTTATTCAGATTATTTGGTATCCTTTATTAGAGTTTTGCTTTTTTTTCCCCATAGAGGTTTTATTTTCTTGGTTAAATTAACTTGTAGAGAATTTAGGGTTTGTGTTGGTATTGTGATGGTATCTTGTTTTTAAGGCTATTTCTTTTTTTTTTTTTATTAGGATTTGGGTGAAGATTTACAGAGTAAATTCACTTTTCATACAGCAGTTCACATATACTTTGTCTCATGTCATTG